TTCCAAAAATTGATATCCGAATTCAATCTGAATTCCTAGATATCCAGTTTTTTTGGATTGGATACAGAGCGGATATCAGATATCAAATTTTTTTGCACACCCCTACCTAACACAATCAGTATATGTATGTATATTCCACGTATATATAAGATGTAGTTTAATATCTCGTTCTTTCTGTTTGATTTAACATGCTATTCTAGCTAACACCATTCCATGCACATCATGAATAAAACTAGTCAATAACTACATAAATAAAACCCATTCCTTCACTATAAAATCAACCCCAAATCCATCATACTACCACAAAACCCATTTTCAACTACTTATAACCAATCCAAAATCCATCAAAAAACCTATCTTAAAGATTGTACAAACAAAGCCCATATCTTCAATATTAAGTAAACGAAACTTATATTAAATAATCACAAAACAAATCCACTTTACATGATCAGAAAGCAAATTCATCTTCAACAACTCACCACCCCAAGAGTAAATTATAACCAAGGGAAGAGCTCACAGTAGACATTACACGTTGTTTGTGTTTTGGTCAAGGTTTTAAAACCTGGCCAAGCCTGGCTGGTTGGACTGGTTCGACTGGGATGCGGCTGGTGAGCCAAGCCGGGAGTGGAAAAAACAGAGAGTATAGTTTATTTAGTTTCACCTATGGGACCAGGGTACTATAGCAACCCGTCGGTCCAACCGATTTTTCCCAAAAACTGGGTCAAATAAAATAAAATAAAACCTTTTGTTTCCTAAATCTGATTCACCCATTTGCAATTTCCTTGATTCCTTTGACATTTTTCACCCATTTTTTTATTTCCTTCAGATCTTCCACTAGTGACTCCCATTTGCGTGATTTCCTCTCTTCAACGTCAACTCTAGATCATCTTCGTCAAGTACCGTCGAAGCCTCTTTCATCTCTCTTTAATTACTGCATTTCATCTCTCATTTCCAATTTATGGGTTTTTAGTCTAAAATCAAAATTAGCATTGTGAGGAAGAAGAAGAAGGGTAGTGAAGAGAGAATGTGAAAAGGGAAGGTTGAAATCAATGTTTACTCTCACTGTTTATACAAAATATATATATCAATACAAGCTAGTTTGGTTGGTTCAATCGTATTTGTTTATTTATTGATTTTGAATGTCATGTTTTATTGTAAAGAAGGAAGAAGAAGAGACCTTGAAAATTGAAGTCTTGTGGGTGAAAAAATAGCCTTGAGACTTGGTCATGAAAGTGTTAGATTTGGTTTATGTGCCTATCTTTTTTCTATTCTTAGGTTTCTGAAGAAAATAAAGAATGAAAGTGTGAAAGAACACCAACTCAATTTTTTCTATGATCTACTTTTTTTTATTGAATAAAGAAGACAAAAATAAATAAATTACAATGGTGAGACAATTTCGGAAAGGAATCTCTTAAAGGAAAAAAGTAAAAATAAATCAAGAAAATTTGACAATTAGGAATTCAATCTTCTTGTAAAAGGAAAAGAATAATTAAGGGTTCGTTTGGTTTATTATTTATCCATATTCTATCCCTAATACATAATAATAAAATAAACACAATCAATGGCTTGACTTTTAACACTCCCGCTCAAGCCGATGCATAGATGTTGATCATACCAAGTTTCTCTATAAAGTCTTCGAAGTTGGCTCGAGCAAGAGCTTTTGTGAGAATATCTGTAGTTTGACTGGTTGTCGGAGTGTAGCTAACCTTAAAAATTTCTTCTTCATTCTTTTATTTGATAAAATGTCGATCTATCTCTACATGCTTAGTTCGATCATGATGAACCAGATTCTTGGCTATACTGTGGCAGCTTGATTGTCACAATATAATTCCATAGGATGCTCCAAGGGAACCTTTAATTCTGACAATAATCTTTGTAACCAAATTCCTTCACAAATTCCTTATGCCATGGCTCGGAATTCTGCTTCTACACTACTACGGGCTACAACAGATTACTTCTTGCTTCTCCAAGTCACCAAGTTTCTCCACACATAGGAACAATATCCTGATGTTGATCTACGATCTGTCATTGAACTTGCCTAGTCTACATATGAAAATATTTCAATATTCCTTTTAATCATTCTTTGCAAGAAAAGACCCTTACCAGGTGTCATTTTAAGGTACCTCAATATTCTATAGACATCTATCATGTGACTCTCAATAGGATTGTTCATGAATTGACTTACCACACTTACTGAGAAACCTATGTCTGGCCTTGTATGAGATAGATATACGAGCTTCCCTACAAGGCACTGATACCTTCCTTTATCACCCGGTGCACTATGATCGTTGTTAACAGGTTTGACAGTTGAATCCATAGGAGTTTCTACAAGCTTGCATCCTAGCATTCTTGATTCATTCAGTAAATCCAGAACATATTTACGTTGTGAGACTACTATACCTTTCTTTGATCGTGCAATCTCCATTATGAGAAAAAAATTTGAGGTTCTCGAGATTCTTGATTTCAAACTCGTTTGCAAGGAATTGTCTAATCTTACATAGTTTCCCTTTATGATCACCTGCCAGAATGATATCATCCACATATACAATGATAACAGCCAATTTCCTATTAGAGGAGTGCTTCACAAATAATGTGTGGTCCGACTGACATTGAGAGTACCCATACTTTTTCACTGCATTAGTGAATCTTTCAAACCAAGCACGAGGAGACTGTTTTAAGCCATACAAGGATTTTCTGAGATGACATACCTTGTTAACATTGAATCTTGATTCTAGGTTTGCAAGAATTTCCATATACACTTCTTCTTCTAAGTCACCATTGAGGAAGACGTTCTTTACATTGAGTTGGTGAAGTGACCAATCAAGATTTGCTACCAAGGATAACAGTACATGAATGGTATTGATCTTGGCAATGGGAGCAAACATTTCCTGATAGTCAATCCCATACGATAAGCATTCATAATATCTATATATTTGTTATATTTCCTCATGTTTTAATGGTTATAAATGCTTAAATCTTGGGTTTTGAGTATGTTTCGTATTTTGTGGAGTAGATTGAGGAGTTAAATCAAATTGAATTCAAAATCAAGAGTTTTGGAGAGAAAAAATCGGAGCTAAAAAAGAGATACATTCTAGAAGCGGATTTTGCTTAAAACGTGGGCTCGTCCTGTTTTCCCAGAATGTTCATAACAGCAGTCAGCAGATAAAGCATGGACGCGCCTTACTGGATCTGAGGTTTTTGGCCTAGGGTTACGAATTTGTTGGAGAAAAAGATATGTACGACAACTGGAAAGATTTATTTACCCTTTCTTAATCTCTAGGATTTGCTAAGACTCCCGATTTGCTTTTAATTAGTTTCCTGATCTAGATAGGGTAAATATTATTAGATGGAGTTATAAATAGGGAAATTATTCACAAGAAAAGGGGTCATCAATCTCTACCTCTCTTTCTTCTCTTTTCTTTAGGCTTTCTTTTAATTATGAGTAGCTAAATACTTTTCTTCCAGCTGAAGGATAATTGAAGTTTTGGTTCTTCAAGAATTGTGAGATCTAAATAATTTTCAGTGTTCTTTTATTTCCTCATTATTTATATATCTTCTATGTTTATTAACAATTATTGTCTTGATTGATTGATGCAAAGGGCCCGTTGTTCAATTATCAGGTTAATAAATTGCCATTTAGAACTTTAAATCCGTAATTGTTTAAGTATTCTAATATTAGTGGTAAAATAACATAGTTGATTATAAAGGGATTTTCGATTTATGTTATGAAGATGTATAATCTAGTCTAAATGAATCCAGCTTATGTATTTGTTGGCTAGAATTGGTAGTCTCTCTAATTATTAATGCTGTCGATAGATTAAATCCTAAGAGCTTGTTTAGGGTTGTTTATTGACGAGGGAAGTAATCAAAGAGCTTGTTTTGGTTATCGAGAAAGTAAGGAGAGGTAGGTTGTTAGAGCTTGTTAATAACCATAACCAATTTGGTGAAGAATACAAGATTTTATCCTTGTATCTGTGATCAATTCTCTGAACCAATTCTGAAATTATACCTTTGGTTGGATATTTGCCTGATATTGATTTTTCCTTAATTTTTAGTTGATTATAATTGCTTTCTTTTTATTTCACTTCGAAATTTCAAAACCCCCCTTTTTCTTTGCTTTAATTTTCATTAAAATAAATCTACCCAATCTCTATGGATATGACCTTGCTCATCACTATTACAATTTATATTTTTTTGAGAGTGAGAATTTTATTATTTGTTGGATTCGACACCCACCAAATTTTTGGCGCCGTTGCCAGGGATTGTTGTTAATTAGATTTATTTTAATGCTTCGTTCTTCTCGTGCAGGTGAACTCCAATACGATCCTGAGATTGAGAAGACGGCTCAGGAGTTGAGGAAGGAAGCTAAATTGCATGACAAACAAGCAACTTCATCCTCATCCCCTGGATTTAATTTAGTACCTGACTTGGTTGATTCATCTAGTGATTCTTTTAGTGACTCTGAAATAGAAGAAGCAATGGCCAATCAAGAGAGAACTTTAAGGGAATTGGCTGCACCAAATGTAAATCAACAGCCACTCTGCATTACATATCCAGCTTTGGAAGTAGGTTTTGAGTTAAAATCTGGATTGGTCCATTTGCTCCCAACTTTTCATGGTCTTGAGAATGAAGATCCTCATAAACATCTGAAAGAATTCCACGTGGTGTGTTCAAGCATGAAACCACAAGGAGTGACCGAAGAACAAATCAAATTACGTGCTTTTCCATTCTCGTTGACTGAAAAAGCAAAGGATTGGTTATTTTATTTGCCCCTTGGCTCTATAATCACATGGATGGAGATGGGGAGATTGTTTCTTGATAAATTTTTCCCTGCATCACGAGCTGCTGGCATTAGAAGGGAGATATGTGGAATCAAACAGAAAGATACAGAGACCCTTAATGAGTATTGGGAAAGATTTAAGCAACTTTGTACAAGCTGTCCATAACATGGAATTTCTAAACAGCTTCTGATTCAATATTTCTACGAACGGCTCCTACCCATGGAAAGGAAGATGATGGATGCAGCGAGTGGAGGTGCCATAGTGAACAAAACTCCTCGTGATGCTAGAGATTTGATCTCCATAATGGCCGCTAACTCACAACAATTTGGATTCAGGCAGGATACATCTCCAATAAGGGTGAATGAGGTAAGTATATCTTCCCTTGAAAATCAAATATCCAATCTAACTTCTATTGTTCAATAGTTAGCTGTAGGAAATATGCAATAAGTGAAAGCTTGTGAAGTTTGTGCTACCATCGGTCATCCAACTGACATGTGCCCTACATTTCGAGATGATTCTTATGAGCAAGCCAATGCAGCTGGAGGATTTCCAAGCCCACCACAAAGGAAATATGATCCCTATTCATATAACCACAACCCAGGATGGAGGGGTCATCCCAATTTCAACTATGGAGCAAGACCACCATTCCAACACTTTCAGCCTAGACCACCTGCTCCACCACTACAACAAACCTCCACAAGTTCAGGTATGTGTCTAGAAGAAATTGTTAAATCACTTGCAACTAACACACATCAATTTCAACAGGAGACAAGAACAAGCATTCAACAATTGGAGAATCAAATGAGTCAACTGGTATCTTTTATGGGTAGATTGGAATCTCAAGGTAAATTGTCCTCACAAACTATTGTTAACCCAAAACAAAATGTTAGTGCAATTACCTTGAGAAGCGGGAAGGAGTTGAAGGAACCCAGTAAGGCAGCACGTGGAGAAGAAATTGAAAAAGAAGTAGTTGCTCCTTAACCTCAAATTGACCAGCCTAAAGGACTCGATAGTGAACAACCAAAGGCATTGGTGACAAATCCTCCCTTTCCTACTAGATTGACTAAATCCAAGAAAGAAGAGGAAGAGAAGGAAATTCTTGAAACTTTTTGCAAGGTTGAGGTAAATATTCCCTTACTTGATGCAATTAAACAAGTGCCTCGATATGCTAAATTTCTCAAGGAGTTGTGCACCAACAAGAGGAAGTTGAAAGGTAATGAAAAGATAAGTATGGGGGAAAATGTTTCAGCCATCCTCCAGAAAAAATTACCTCCACAATGCAAGGACCCAGGTATGTTTACTATCCCTTGCAAACTAGGTGATGTTAGGATTGAGAAAGCAATGCTAGATCCAGGAGCTTCAATAAATGTCATGCCTCTCTCTATTTATTCATATTTGAATATTGGTCCATTAAAAGAAACAGGTGTGATTATTCAACTTGCTGATAGATCTAATGTATATCCTAAAGGAGTCTTGGAGGATGTCTTAGCACAAGTTAATGGGTTAGTCTTTCCTGCTGATTTTTATGTTCTTGACATGGAAGAAGATGACTCTTCTAATTCAACACTAATGTTATTAGGAAAGCCATTTCTAAAAACATATAGGACAAAAATTGATGTACATGATGGTACACTCACCATGGAATTTGATGGTGAAATTATTAAATTCAATAGTTATGACACCATGAGGTACCCTAATGATGTGTCTTCTGTTTTTGTTATGGATGTTATTGACACGTTGGCGCAGGAATAATTACAATTGCAAGAGTTGGAGGAAATCCGCAATGATGCCTATGAAAGCTCGAGAATATACAAAGAAAAGACCAAAGCCTTTCATGATCAACTAATTTCTAGGAAAAAAAATTCTATTGTTGAAATACAAAGTTCGGATACAGGTAAAACTTTTAAGGTCAATGGTCATCGTTTGAAACCTTTTTATGAAGGTTTTCAAGTGTATAATGTTGATCAAATTATTTCGGAAAGTCCGAATTATGGCGATTAAGAGGTGGCAACGTTTAGCCAAAGACGTTAAAGAATGGTGCTTTTGGGAGGCAACCCAACTTTTTGTCTTACTCTCCTTGTTTTCTTTATTTTATTTAGATTATTTTTAGTTTTTTTTAATCATTTTTCGGAGTGCATTTGATTTTCTTTCCAATTTGTTTGGCAGGAGATGATTTTCGTAACCCGTGGGCACACCTTATGGAAAATCTTGAATCATGGAATTGGGGAACAAACCAGACGAGATCTTTGAATACAACGTGCCCATGCCTTATTCCAATTGTTCTCTTGGTTGAATGACTGCCTCCTTCACCCAGCTCAACATCACACCACCTTCACCCCCAAGCACGTGACTGATATCTTGGTTGATGCTCAACATTTTTAGGGGAGTTTTCTACTTACTCTTGTTCTTTTATAGTTTTTGAGCATCTATTTTTGATACATTGCGGACAATGTATGGATTAAGTGTGAGGGAGGGTCTTTGACATATGAATTTGATACTACTTTGAACTTCACTTTTAGCTCCCTTTTGATCAATTTTTGTGTCATTTTCCAAGAAGATTTTCAAAAATCCAAGTGATACTTTAGTTCTTGTTTGTGATCTTTCTCTTCTAAATTCTAGATTCTGTCGATGCTTATCTCAAATGATCTAGATTATTGTGAATTATTGAGATAAATTGAGGCGTAATAAGGGATTAGCATGAATAGTTGAATCTTATTTACTACACAGTGATTAATTGCTCTTGATGATTGATTGAATAGAAAATGTGTGGGATCTAATGTACATGACCTTTTTGTGCGCTTTTGAGCCAATGAGCATTCATATTATATTATGCTCCATTTTTCTTGATTGAGTGATAGTCATACATAGTTGATTTTTCTAGAACTTGCTTTGTTATGCATGTCAGGAGACTACATTGTTGAATTGGATGCATTGAATTAATAAGGGCATCTAGGTGGAGCCATTTAGCTTTCTTAAAAAGCCTACCTTGATTTTTACCTTAGAAAGCCAATTTTGAACCTTGGCCTTTTTGTTGGAAGTTAACCATGATATAAGCAATGTCAACCCATTCTTTTGTTGATTTCCCTCTTTTGAACCTTGAATTGAAGGATCATACTAGCTTTTTCACATGAAGCTTCAAATTATCTTTGAAAGGATTGAAAGATGTTGGGAATAAAGTGATTCAAGTTACAAGTGCCTTGGTTTTTCAAAAAAAGGACGAAAAAACCACCAAAAAACCACCCAAAAAAAAAAAAAGACAAAGAAAGAAAGAAAAATAGGGTGGATTGAAGAAAGAAAAGTTGTGCAACTCCAATTGTTTGGAAGTGAATTGATTGAAGAAAACATTTGACATTATTGAGTTGCTCTTTATGTGAAGAAGTTGGTATAATTCCTTTGATAAAAGTACCTAAAAATTCCTTCTCACTACACCTTACCTAAGCCCCGTTACAACCCATTTAAGACCCTTAGATTTTTTTGCATTCAATTCAATCAATTGATGGTAAAGATGTGATATATTAGCAAGCTTATGGTAAAGATCTTCTATGTTTTGACTTGAGAGTTCATTGATCCCCTAAACACTTGGAGCGTATTGAGTGAATCCAATGAGAGGGTGTTAGATCCTATTGCATTTTGATTTCAAGAAGATCATTGAGGTGATTGTTCATGGATGTGGTTTATAAGAATTTACTCTATGAAATTTCTCGTTTCTTATTTGTCTTTAGATTTAAATCTTTAATGCATGATAATTTGGATTATAGAGGATGAGTAAAGGTAGAAGAAGGAACGATGATGAGAAAAGGTGACGAACTTGAGCTATTGTATGCTTGAGGACAAGCATTGTTTAAGTGTGGGGGAATTTGATAAGCATTCATAATATCTATATATTTGTTATATTTCCTCATGTTTTAATAGTTATAAATGCTTAAATCTTGGGTTTTGATTATGTTTCATATTTTGTGGAGTAGATTGAGGAGTTAAATCAAATTGAATTCAAAATCAAGAGTTTTGGAGAGAAAAAATCGGAGCTCAAAAAGAGATAAATTCAAGAAACGGATTTTGCTTAAAGCATGGGCACGTCCTGTTTTCCCAGAATGTTCATAAAAGCAGTCAGTAGATAAAGCGTGGGTGCGCCTTACTGGATCTGAGGTTTTTGACCTAGGGTTACGAATTTGTTGGAGAAAAAGATATGCATGACAGCTGGAAAGATTTATTTACCCTTTCTTAATCTTTAGGATTTGCCAAGACTCCCTATTTTGGTGGGATTTGCTTTTAATTAGTTTCTTGATCTAGATATGGTAACTATTATTAGATGGAGTTATAAATAGGGAGATTATTCACAAGAAAAGGAGACATCTATCTCTACCTCTTTTTCTTCTCGTTTCTTTAGGCTTTCTTTTAATTATGAGTAGCTAAATACTTTTCTTTCAGCTGAAGGATAATTGAAGTTTTGGTTCTTCAAGAATTGTGAGAGCTAAATAATTTTTAGTGTTCTTTTATTTCCTCATTATTTATATATCTTCTATGTTTATTAACAATTATTGTCTTGATTGATTGATGCAAAGGGCTCGTTGTTCAATTATCAGGTTAATAAATTGCCATTTAGAACTTTAAATCCATAATTGTTTAAGTGTTCTAATATTAGTGGTAAAATAACATAGTTGATTATAAAGGGATTTTCGATTTATGTTATGAAGATGTATAATCTAGTCTAAATGAATCGAGCTTGTGTATTTGTTGGCTAGAATTGGTAGTCTCTCTAATTATTAATGCTGTCGATAGATTAAATCCTAAGAGCTTGTTTAGGGTTGTTTATTGACAAGGGAAGTAATCAAAGAGCTTATTTTGGTTGTCGAGAAAGTAAGGAGAGATAGGTTGTTAGAGCTTGTTAATAACCATAACCAATTTAGTGAAGAATAGAAGATTTTATCCTTGTATCTGTGATCAATTCTCTGAACCAATTCTGAAATTATACCTTTGGTTGGATATTTGCCTGATATTGATTCCTCTTTAATTTTTAGTTGATTATAATTGCTTTATTTTTTTATTTCACTTCGAAATTTCAAAACCCCCCTTTTCTTTGCTTTAATTTTCATTAAAATAAATCTACCCAATCTCTGTGGATACGACCTTGCTCATCACTGTTACAATTTATATTTTTTTGAGAGTGAGAATTTTATTATTTGTTGGATTCGTCACCCACCACCATATGATTGAGTAAAACTTTTAGCGACCAACCTTGCTTTGTACTTATCCACATTCCCATCTGCTTTGTACTTTACTACGAAAATCCATTTCACCCAATTGGTTTCTTCCCTCTCGGGAGTTCAGTAATTTCCCAAGTACCATTCTTTTCAAACCCTGAACTTCCTTATCAACCGCAGTTTTCCACTTAGGACACTTGAAAGCTTCCTGAATGTTCTAAGGAACCTGTATCTCTATAGTGCTAGCAGTAAAGGCACGAAAAAATGGTGATAGTTTATCATATGAAATAAAATTTCCAATGCGATGCTGAGTGCATGATCTAACTCCTTTTCTCCAAGCTATGGGCCTATTTAGAACATCATTTTCTAACTCAAAATCAACAGCACTATTTAAATAAAAACTATTGTTACTTGGAATTTTGCTCGAATTTGGACTTGGTTCAGCTTCATGGATTTGTTGAGGAAGTGCTCCTTCCTCCGTTTCCTTTTGGATGTGCTCCTTATCCCGCAAGTTAACAATGAACTCAGTGTTTTTGACAGGTAGGAGTTGATTTGGATGTGATTTTCTGTGGTGATGGGTGATTCAATGAGTGACTCAAAGTCCCAAAATTGATATTCTTGAGTTGAATTCTCCCCTTAAATATCAGTTTCGAGGTAGTAAGACTTGTTTTCAAAAAAGGTGACATCCATCGAATGGTAGAATTTTTGTGTGACTGGAGAGTAACACTTATATCTTTTTTGATTTGAGGAATACCGAAGAAAGATGCATTTGATGGACATGGACAAAGACAGAGCAACCAAAAATTTTGGGTGGGATGGTGGAAATAAGACAAGTTGTGGAAAGGATTTTAGGAGGGTGTGACAAGGTGTGTTGAATTTTAGAACTCTGGATGCCATTCTATTGATAAGGTAAGCTGCCGTAAGAACTGCTTCCCCCCAAAGATATTTTGGTACATTTGTTGTGAACATGAGTGATCTAGCCACCTCTAGTAAATGTCTATTTTTTCTTTCAGTAATTCCATTTTGTTGTGGGGTATCTATACATGAACTTAAGTGAACTATTCCTTCTTTCGCTAGAAATTCTCCTAAGCTAGAGTTGAAATAATCTTGGCATTATCAGACTTTAGGATTTATATTTTTTATTGGAATTGGGTCTGAATCATATTTTTGAAACTTTTGAATATTTGAATCATTTCTGATTTTTCTTTCATGAGGAATACCCAGGTTAATCTATTGTGATCATCTGGATGAGGCAAACCACCTCGCACTTGTTATATTTTTTTAATTTTTGGCGGACCCCAAATATCACTATGAATCATTGGGAATGGACTAGATGCTTTGTAGGGTTGAATGGGAAAATGAGACCGAACACGTTTTGATAATTGACAGATTTCACACTCAAAGGATTTTGGATGTTTGTTAAATAAGGATGGACACAAATGCTTGAGATACATAAAATTTGGATGACCTAAGCGATAGTGCCACAACATGATTTCAGTATCGTTATTTTGACAACAAATAGAAAAAGAATTACCACTAATTGCCTTTTGA